GATTTGGAGGTTTGCTTGAGGGACTCCGCCCGGAGCCGTTGGCTCAATAGCCTGACCCACACGGCAGTGGAGAGCAGATCCAGCTCGGGAATGTGATTGCAGAGACAGATTGGGATCTGCTTGACGGCCGTCACACGCAGCCTTTGAGGTTCTGGATCAGTTATCATGTTTTTCGACCGTAATTGGATACGCACCTGCGACCACGGCCAGACGCAGGTGGGTTTTTGGCGGGTTTGCACCAATTTGACCAGGGGCTGCCTGGCTTGAGGCGGGCAGTAGCAAACCATTGAACACCCGGAGGTGTCCTCCCACCGTCAGAGACAATGCGTGGCACTCGAGCTCTACGCCAATCGAGCATTGAGAATATAACCCGTAACCTGTTGTCTCTCATATATATATATATATATATATATATATATATATATATATACCATGCCGGGGCTGGTGTTGCACTCATGATGCTTCTTCACCGCAGTTGTGCTAAACCGACTTGCACTTAAACTTGGTCTTTCTAAGCTGGATAAATTTCATTCCTATTTGTTTGTTTTGTTCTGCCTAGCTGAATAATCTAAACCGCACACGTTACTTACTTTAATTGTGGTTATCTTCGTTAACTTAATCGCGTTTGTGGCGTTTTTTGTATAACTTCTGTACATTTTGTAGTTGTCGCGGATTCACTGCTAACCAACTTACTTCATATAATAATTTAGTGCAGCGTTATATCTGCATAGCCGTATGCTTTAACAGATAAATTTTATTTGTTAATGCTATTTCAAGTGATTGGCTGTTGCTCGATATCCCCGGTGTGACTGCGCTTGATGTGCATATTGACAAGGTGCCTACCCACGACCTCGTCCATACTGACTCCAGGAGACAGTTGGTCGTGTTTGAAGGGAAAGTCATTGTGTTGCTTTGCGTGAATTGGCCGATGGTCCAGTGGCCTGCACGATTGCCTTGCAATTATAAGGTCATCGTTTCGAATTTACGGTGTGTGTGTGTGTCATATATGATTGTGTCAGCTGTACGCTATAACGGCGCTTCGCTGCGGCGCGACCACCGGCAGTCGCGATTGGGCTGAGTATACCGCGAGGATGCCCTCCCCTACGTAAATTCGACCCGATGACCTTATAATTGCAAGCCAATCGTGCAGACCATTCGACCACTGGCCAATCCACGCAACACAACACAATGGCTTTCCCTTTAAACATTCCCTTGATGCTCTGGCCGGCGCTTTATATGCTTCATCGAGCAGGATGGGTAGGGGTGAGGATACTGCTTCTCAGGCCCTCTCATCTTCTTATTCATCTTGCGCTTTTCACTCTTATTGCCTCTCTCCAATTCCACTTTTATTCAACCTTTCAGCTTTCTCGCAATTCTTGGCCTTCTCCCATCTTGCTTCAATAGGCATTCGCCTTCTAGTCTCAACTCACAAGCAGTCGCAGGGCGTCGGTCTGGTTCAGTCAGCAAGCCCATGTTTGGCCAAGCAGACGTCAGTACGCCAGTTTTCATTTAAAGCCCTTGATCCTCCCTGAGACTGGCATGCACCGGTTTGCGCAGTTTTATAGGTTGGCCAACAAGCAATAATATCCGATCACCAGAGACTCTATCGATCGATATCTGCTGCTGATCATAAACCCACCGCCGAGATTCAACCTCTGTGATTACCCTGCGATCCCCGACGTGCGACACTGGCAGCATAGTCTCATTGCGTTTGTTTGAAGATGACGCAGCTTCAAATGCCGGTCAAGCTGGCCTCGGCATTGTTTTTAGTCCCCGGGCTGTAGGTGCGCTAATCGATTGGGTCCCAGTCAACTGCCGGATGTGCGCCGTTAGATTGGTTGGCTCGTCCAAAGTTTGAGAGTCCCGCTCGAGCAAACGGTGCCTGTTGGGCATTGCGGCACACGCCTCTACAAACTGTAACGCTGACTCAGTGATAGATGAGTTCTATCACCAATTGAATGAATTCCTTCGTTTCATAGTGTACAGCTACTGTGGGGCTTGCTGGCGATCTCAACGTCCAAGTTGGAAAGTTGTCCACTGGTGAACTTCATCTGGACGGCCAACATGGTATAGGCTCCTGTAATGATAACAGTGAGCGGTTGCTACACCTGTGTGAAGATCCTCTTCCCTTTTTCGCGAGCACTAACTTTCGACACAACACCCACTGATGAGTGACTTGGCGCCCACCAGCCTCGGACCAGTAATGGACGAAAGTAGATCACATCGTGATCAGTTAAAGCTGGTGAGGCTGTGTCTAAAATTGTCGCTCGATTTGGAGCATCAGCGTGGACTCCGATCACCCTCTCGTGTGTGCCGACCTGCGGGTGCGTTTCGGCGGACGTCCGCAACGTCGCTGTGATTGCATTCATATCAGTCAGTTGGCGAAGCCAGGTGTTCTGAATGCGTATCAAACTTCGCTGGTATCCTGGTTGAGTAAGCGCCCACTGAACACCGTTGGAGATCACTGGTTGCATAATCATCAAATGTTATTAGCAGCAGGCATGTTTTCATCTGGGAAATCAAATTGCCAACCTGGACACTGGGTCTCTACGCAGTCTCTGGAATCCTTAGAGACTCGGCGACCCAGTCCGGCGGAAAGCGAACACAATTAGACTCACAAAGATGTCAGTGCAAAACTCCATACTAGCCTGAAGAGAGACCGCGAAGTCTGGTAGTCCCAGTGTGCATGAGGGACGGAGACAGCCGCTGCCCTTGGTAACCACCTGAAGTAATTCGGCTTGATAGGGAAAACAGGAGGCAGGAGACCTGATGTTAGCGAGACCATCCGCGACGAGAGTGAGCAGTCAATTCACAGCTTGTCAAAACGCATGGAGCGTTGGGTCGAAAAACTTCAGAAGCAGTTCAACCAGTCAAAGTTGCTAGCTTCTCCATCGGCCACTGGTCGCTCTGCTCCCTGGGCGGTCCCGCTGGATTCGTCCTCTCGCTCAGAAATCGAACGTGAGATGAGACGGCTGAAATTGAACAAGATCACAGGAGCAGATGGACTTCATCCAGTCTTCTTTTGAACGATTTACTTAAGTTATTGGTGAATAGATGGAAGCAGGAGCCTGTTCCAACAGACTGGGGCCGCTCTGTTATGTTTCTTTATTTTCAAGGAAGATCTCCTTTAGAATGGGGCAGTCTGATCCCAATTGCCTCTAGGTTACTTGCCTCTATTGTCCTCCTCCATAGACTGCCTGTCACTCGTGAAAGCCTGGTGCACGAGGAGCATGCCGGGTTTCGTCGTAGTTGCGGCTGTATTGATCACATCTTCACGTTGTGTTAATTGTTGGAGCACCGCCATATTTATCGGTGTGCCACCATAGTCGTGTTTTGAGACATCAAAGGTGCCTTCGATTCGGTTAGTCAATATGCCCTTTGGGATTGTCTTCTTTTTAAGAGAGATGTGCCCGAGAAATACGTAAACATTCTCAGAGCGCTGTACGCGAATAATTCTGGCAGAGTGATGGTTTACAGCGAACTTTCCTCGCTATTTAATATCTCGTGGTGTAAAATAGATTGCCCGCTGTCACCTCTCTTTAACTTCGCTATTGACGAAGTCATAGAAATGACGTTCGCTGGGCACTATCTACAAAGTGTGGAGCTGCTTCCCGGTGAGCGGCTTATTGACTTGGAGTATGCCCACGACAGTACACTAATCTGTGACAGCTCCCGGACGTGCCAACTAGCCTTGGACAAATTACCTCTGCCTGTCAGTCGTTACGGGCTATGCTTTGCCAATGCAAAATCCTTCTGCACTATTGACGTGGACCCAACCAGGCGCTGACCCTTTGCTGTTATCACGTAGGAATCATTGGGGAATTCATCTATCTGGTCAGCTATATTAGTCCTTGTGAGATCGAGGATGAGATCACAAACCGTATAGCAGAAGCTCGAGGTGCTTGTGTTTATCTCCGCCATCTGTGGCGTCGGCGCGACATCACTCGCTCTAAGATGCAGCGTTTACAATGCAGCCGTGTGTTCAACCCTCCTGTACGGTTGTGAAATCTGGCCCATCAATTCGACAGGCATAACGAGGCTTGTTACAGTCGACTATCCTTGTCTTCGCAGTTTGGCTCATGCCTGGTGAGAACACCTCGTGAGCATTGAGCGCGTTCTGCGTCGTGTACTTGGTGCATAAAGAGCGAGTGAACCGATCAGCACCTTTATCTCACGCACCAGACTCATATGGCTGGGCCACGTGTCGTCTATGTCAGCACACCGACTCCCGCGAAGTGCGTTGTTTGCGGAACCGGGGTCTGGATAAAGGAAGCGGAGGGGGAGGCTAGGCTATGATTTGTTCAAGAGGAACGAAAACCCTCACTTCGAAGTTGGCGTCTGTTGGTGGAGACTGAAAGACGATAAAGACGTTTGGTTGGATTCACTAGTTAATATGACCAAGAGTCGACCTAAATGTCGTTTGTATTATGAGTTTCCTTGTCACTCCTCTCTCCTTTAACCTCCCATTCCAACAACGATCTCATCTCCATGCGTAATATGTTATTTAGTGTTATCTTGCTTCTTTCAGTGGTGGTGGTGGTGGTGGTGGTATGGACGATGATGACGTTCATGTGAGCGCGGTCTCCTCCCTGCCTGTCGATTTTCGATTCGCCATCAATTCATATATTGTTTCGGGCTGCTGAAGACAATTACTTTGAACTCCTGTCTGGATTGTCTCTTTATCTGTGCTTGTCATTTGAAAGCTGCCAAGGCGTATCTGACCATTTTTGTTTGTTTTGAAGTTGTTGTGAATATTTATCGCTCAGCCTTTGCATGTGAATTTTTGCTTAATTTGTAGACGTTTCATTGTCACGTTAGGCAGCATTATCAGTGCAGCTTCCAGTGTTCTGCTTACTTATTTTCCTTCAAAGGTGTCGCATTGTGGCAGCTTCATTCCGCGATTCTAACTTAACTTTTGTCTTCGCATTGTTTCTATCATTAATCTATCTCATCACAAAAATGCGTTCTATCATTTCTTGTTCGCCTTTCCCACTTTGTAGGAGACAACTTTGGAATTTATATTCGTAGTGCGTTGAGCTTCCGGCCTGTACAACGCTCCTTGCCATCTACCGCCTTCCTTCTACCGGATCCCAGGTTGTTTCTTGCGACAGAACCTCTGGTTATCACACCTCATGTGAACTATTCAGCTCATGATTATGAGGAATTTTTCAGGGACATCAATTACACGCTAGGTTTGTGCTGGTTCCTTGTAGTCGTTTCCTACGTGCTCGATTTGCTGCCTTGTGAACAGTTTTATGTGGCTAACCTGTTTGCTTTATTTCATTTTCGCAAACCGTCATCCTGACCAAATCGCAACTTCTTTGTTATGTTTAGCGTTTTTCTCGAACTTCGTCCCATTCAATCCATTATTTCAATTTTCATCTGCCTGCTTTCTGCCTTTGACGGGATCCAATCTGTGATTGTCTTTTACTCTGCTGTGAGCACCCATTTCATTTTCGCTTTATAGCATATTTTCTTAAGGAAGCAACGAACCAGCCTAACTGCTGTCTTCAGGAGAAATAATTTAATCGCACGATTTCTCATCCCATTTGTGGCTTTGTTTGAATAGCACAATTATATGACATAACCTGGTGAGGCACGCATTTCGTGTTGCTTCATCAATACTTGTATTCGTCTTCTCAGTATGCTACTCGATCTACTGCAGATAACTATTTGATCTAACTTTCTGAAGTCGGATTTTGTTGGCTTGGATACACCATACACAAATATGTCCTCGGTATTCTAACATGCGGCATATGTGAACTATTCGCTGTGCATTCTATGATTAAACCGTGCTTCTCACTGGGGGAATTGTGTGAGCTCGACTCCGTTGTTGTTTTTGCCAATAGAAGCGGAACTTTGTGTGCAGGGAAACCACTAATTTATTGTTTACTAAGTTATCTTCGTATAGTCACCAATACTGCATCGTCTGGTTGAGCGACACTCCACTGTAGCTGGTCACTAATGCCTCAGTTGGGTATGAAGGAATTCACGAACACGCTGATTCGAGTTGGCTCTTGCCGTATTTTCTAATGGAGTCCTGTGGGTTGATTACATTACTTGCTCTATCCACCACAGATACGATGCTAACATGCAGCTAGTGGTATTCTTTCAGTCATTTCTATTAACTATTTCTTCTGATGAGTTTTTTTAATTACCTCCTCCGCACTTTACTGTGCAGACCAAAGTTGGCGAGTTGAAGGGAACTGAAATTTCCGGGATCTGGCCAATTATCGCCTTCAATTGAATCGATTTTAGACGGATTTTTCGGTTTGCTTGAAAATGTTGTTTTGCCAAACTACTTCTGTCGCTTGATCCGATACTTGTCGGAGTCGCCGCCTTACTTCCGGTGTGTATCACCTATCGATTTTGATTTGGAAGTGAGGTGCTTCTTTGGACCCGTTTACTCATTTCACACACATTTCATCTATTTTTTGCCATTTAGTTCTTATACCCGAGTAAACACTTCTAGTTTTTCATTTCGCTTTCTAGGCTACGATATGATGCAAAGCACGAAGCCATCACTGGATAGCTTTGTCGGTCCCACCGGTATCGATGAGGTCTTTTGCATTCACGGATCAAGCGTGCCAACTACTTACCACATGGTTTACAGTGAGCCCACTTTCTATCGAAGTGGCTTCCCCGACCAGTATCCCACTTTGATTCCGGGCGATGGGGATGGCACAGTGCATATGCGTAGTCTTGAGCTTTGTCAAAATTGGCCCGGAACCAAACACGTTGTTTTTGAGGGCGCTGAACATCTGCAAATCGTTGCAGATCCCCGCCTTATTGACCTTGTGGTCAAAATCATCGGTGCGAACCTGACTGAACTCGAAGTTTGATCTCATGATTTTCGAACCGATTCTTTCAGATTGCATCTTTTTCTCATACCCTGCCATCGTGTATTTTGAATTTGCACCTTCCCTTTCCAACACATGCATTATTGTCCTGATATTTCATACCAACCGACGTTTTATTTTGGGGGTGGTGGTGGTTGTTGTATTTTTCCATCCCACATCAGATGCCTGAAAATCTTCTCAGTTTGACGTGACATTGGACTGACACTTCGAGTGCGTTTATTTTGCATCACACAACTGCTGTATCAACCGCCTATCTATTCTCCGCTGGCGAAAAGAGGTCTGATTACATCGTTTCACAGCTCCATTTCTTAGTTTGGTTTTTTTCGGGACTGCAGCCGTCTCATCGTTCGTATTAAAATTGATTGCAGTTTTTCCAGGACAAGGTTGTTAAGGAAACTGTTTCGTGCTCGAAGTACAAAAGAAATGTTTCCCGACCGGACGAGATGCATGTTCTTCTTGTGGTCTCTTATTTCAACAACAATATTGTCATACAGGACCTGTGTTTTCTTTCATATTATCAAATCGAATGTGTGTCTATCATTGAATTATCCACCAGAAAATTCTTTTCATTTCCAAAATGTCCATCTTCATTTCTGTGTTTCCATGAGGGTCTACGAGAAGCGCACACTGGATCCATTCTATATTTTCATTCCTCTCCTATTTCCTGATAGAAGTTATCATCATTATATACGTTAGCTGGTGTAAAAACACCTCAGCTACTGTGCCGCAATACATAAGAAATTGAAAAAAATGCAACAGGTGCAAGCCAGCTGAGATACCGCTACCGGATTGACCTCGTTCCGGTAAACTACCAGCGGGCTACTAAGCAAAAAGAAAAAAATTATTATGTAAAATTATATTATGCTACGAGATGATGGGGACGGACAAAGGAACTCACAACACGAACACCACTGAGGTCGGCTCCTTGCCATGTCAGCAAGTGTATCTAGCCAAACGTGTTGCTCGTCTTTTGGACCCCAACCAGGGAGCCGTGACGTTCTAACCGAGGCCAGCTCCGAAGTGAGGGCCTTCATTACTGTGGACCAAGTCATCGCTTGGCCACCCCTCCTCTTCTTCCATCCACACCCCCGGTGAGCAAACAACGCACGTCGCAGAAACCGGTGGGCTGGCATGCGCAACACGTAGCCAAGCCATCGGAGCCTGGTGCGTGAAATGACGGTACTGAGCGGTTCATTTCCTTTTTCTGTGCCGTAAACAAGGCGTCGAACACGCTCGTTACTTACGCGGTGTTCCCACCAGATGTGAGTCAAACTGCGAAGTCACCGATGGTCGAACGTAACTAGCCTCTTTATGTCCGCCGATCTTAGGGACCAGGTTTCGCAACCGTACAATAAGCTTGAACGTAACGCCGCATTGTACACTCTACCCTTCAGGACGAGAGTGATGTCGCGCCGCCGCCATAAGTGGCGAAGGTTAGCAAAAGCACTTCGAGCTTTTGATATACGGTTCGTGATCTCATCTTCAATCCCAAGGGCGCTGATACAACTTCCCAGGTAGTTGAATTTCTGAACGACTTCTAGCAGATCCCCACCAAGGGTCAGCGCAAGAGGCGATCTTTGCCAATCTTGGAGGAACGCTTTGCATTTCGATGGTGCAAAGCAAAGCCCGAAGCGGGTGACAGGCAGTGCTAATCTGTCCAGCGCGGCTTGGCACGTCTGGGAGCTGTTACAGATGAGGGCAATGTCGTCGACATACTCCAAGTCAAGAACTCGTTCTCCTAGGAGTAGCTCCACACCTAAGTCATGTCCTGTAATTGCCATCTTCATGACTTCGTCAATAGCGAAGTTGAAAACGAAAGGTGACAGCGGCATCCTTGTCTCACACCGCTGAAGATATTGATGGGTGGCGACAGCTTGCCGTTAGCCCTCACTCTGCCCGAGCTACGTGCGTATAATGCTCTGCTAATATTTACATATTTCTCGGGCACACCTTTCCTTAGTAGACAATCCCAAAGGACACATCGATCCACCGAATTGAAGGCACCTTTGATGTCGAGGAACACGACTACGGTGGACCGCCAATATATGTGACGGGGCTCCAACAGCTGACGTAATGTGAATATGTGGTCGATGCAGCCACAACCTCCACGAAAACCGGCTTGCTCTTCATGAATCTGACTTTCACGAGTGCCAGTCAGTCTGTGAAGGATTAAATGGAGATCAGACTGATTCCTCTATGGTTGCCGCATTCCGAACGTGAGCCTCATTTGAAGATGGGAACAATAACGGAGCGGCTCCAGTCGTTTGGAACGGTCTCCTGCTCCCACAGTTTCACTAGTAATTCATGTAAAGCATCAACAAGAGCAAAGCCTCCGAATTTGAAAAGGGCTGGAGAAATGTCGTCTGGTCCCGCGGCCTTGTTCAACTTCAACAGTCAGATCTCACGTTCGACTTCTGAGCGAGAGGGTGGATCCAAAGGGGTAGCCCACGAAACAAAGCGATCACTGGCCGGCGAAGAATCGAACAATTCTGACCGATTAAATTGCTTTTCATAATGCTCCAAACACTTTGACAAATTGTGGATAGGCTGTCTACTCTCGTCACGTATAGTTTCACTAACCCCAGGTCTCCTGCTGCCCGCTTCCCGTATCAGACGGAATAACTTACGATGGTTGCCAAGGGCAGCGGCCACTTCCATCTCTGCCGCACGAAGAGACCAGCGAGATTCGCGGTCTCTCTTCAGGCTTGCACGGTGTCTTGCCCGGAACTCTTTGCGAGTTTCATTGTGTTCGCTTCCAGCCGGGATATGCCGGCGAGCATCGTTAAGTTCCAGAGACCGCAAAGAGACCCAGTGTCCATGTTGGCTATTAGACTTATCACACGAGGATCTGTCTGCGGCAAGTAAGGTTTGGGGAACATGTGACCAGTGACCCTCAATTGCCTCCAGTGAGCGCTTACTCAACTCGCGTATCAGCGTACTTTGATAGGCGTTCAGAACAGCTGGCTTTGTCAGTTGGCTGGTGTCAATGCGTTCACAGCGTCGTCGTGGGCGTCCGCCAAAACGCATCCGCATGTCAGCACATACAAGTGCATGGTCGGTGTCCACACATGTGCCCAACTCAAGCGACAGTTCTGGACGCAGCCTCTCCAGTGGTAACTGATTTCAATGTGATCGATTTGCGTCCAAAGCTGATTCGAGGCTGGTGGGCGCCAAGTCACCCTCCGGCGAGTACTGTGTCGGAAATTAGTGCTCGCAAGAAATAAGCGGGCATCTTCACACAAATGAAGTAACCACTCACCGTTATCATTACGGGAGCCTACACCGTGTTGACCGCCCAGATGCATTTCATCAGTGGATAGCTCCAACTTGTGCGTTCAGATTTCCCGCCAGCACAACAGTGTCCGTGCTTCTTCTGTGGCGAAGGAGCTGGGTCCGTTGGCGGCAGAAATTTTTCTTTATCGAATCATCGCTACGGTTTGTGGGCGCGTAGGCAGCGATGATGAATAGACACCTATTAGTCCCGCGAGACTTCGAAGCTTTGAACGAGCCAGCCAATCGGACCGCACACATCCGGCTGCTGATTGGAATCCAATCAACCAGTGCAGCTTCAGCCTGGGGACTCAGGGAAATGCTAACACCAGCTTGGCCGGTGCTCGGAGGTGCATCGTCACCGGATAGGCGCAATGAGAAAGTACTGCTTGCGTCACCTGAAGGGGATCACAGAGTGAGCACAGAGCTCGAGTCTTGTAGGCGGGTCTCCGATAAGCAGCAGATATCGCTCGAGAGGGTCTCTAAAGTCCGGGCAAGTATTGTCTGTTGACTGATCTGTAGTAATGTGCGTACATTGAGGCATGCCAATGTGAAGAAGGATCGAGGGCTCCAAATGGAAGCCGATGAACTGGAATGGACCGCTTGCTTGGACATGGGCTTGTCGACGGGAGAGAAGTGACGCTCCGCGTTAGCATGTGAGTTGGAATTAGACGGTAAACGCCTAGCAAAGCATGTTGGGAGAGGGCCAAGAATCGGGGGTTGAAAACGGGGGATAAAAGTGAAGTTGGAACGGGACGATAAGCGTGAAAAAGCGTAAGAGGGGGAATAAGCAGGGGGGAAGCCTTGTGCAGTAGCATCCAAACCCCTATCCACCCTGCCTGATGCAACAGATAGGGCACCGTTGATTATCCTCTGCGGTGGCCAGAGCATCAGAAATTTGTTTGAAGTGAGACTCATTGTATTGCGTGGGCAGGATACTGTCAGATTGCCCAGGTCTAGACAGGAGAACGATTAGGGTTCTCAACCAAAGCATTTGGTTCAATACCTGACCGCAATGCAGCGGGTTTGGCGTTGGGCTACAAGGAGTCCGTTTTAAGAAATAAGGAGCCACCCTCATTCCAACCCCCAACCTGGAGGACCAGAAGGCTGAGTTTGTCTGGCGTCTAACCATTGACCAATCTGGTATGAGTGACTCTGAAGGTGCAAAAACGTACCACCCAGCATAGCTCAATGGATCACTGAGGCACACAAACCACCGCACCACGGTAAGGTCCAGCCTCATTGCGAGGGAGAAGTGATCATGATTACGAAGGAGTAGACGGGTTTCGTTATGACTCAAGTTGGTTCGTCGCAATTAGATTCCAAGTCGCATAAGTAAGCTACCAATCCGGAAAAACACCAGACGCGCGTTTCGCCCCATTGGGCCTCGCCAGTGTTGCGCATCCATCAGTCCTTTACTGGGGATCGAGCCCATGACTGCTAGAGGCTAACGCCAACTAGCCAGCAGTTTATGCCACTGAGCCATGGGGGACGGCAGCCGACCATTACGAATTGAAACCTAACTGCGATATAGCCTGACCCATCCTCCACTGCTGTGCAGGTTATTGTCCACGCTGAGGACAGTGATTGACCGTCACGGTCAGGTCTGCACTTGCCAACGCCGTGAATCCACGCAACCATTTTGAATACTGGTAGGGCTGAGATTTTCGATTACTGATGAGTAGAGGGATTTGGGTATGATTCAGATTGCTTCATCGCAATTAGATTTCAAGCCTCATAGGTAGGCTGCCAATCCGGGAAAGCACCAGGCGCACGTTTCGCCCTATTGGGGCCCGTCAGAAACGATCATGATTGCTTTTGTCTTGCCTCCCGTTTCCAAAAGTCAAGGTTCTGTCTAGTGACGAATGTGGACGAGGTGCCAGTGTTTGTGTGTGGTCCCTGCATTTGCCACTTAGTTGTTTGAAACGTAGCGCTGCGTGCCTTGGTATTTGCTTTGCGCACCTATAGAGCGCTGGGTCGACTCAGTCCCAATTCTCCATACAAGCGACCAACCGTTGCAATTTCTCGATCGGTCCAGTTGTCTGGGCGCTTGTATCTCATCTGGTGGTCACATTGGTTGGCGGCATTCGGATTTGCCTGTCACTGTGGTCAGCCACAGGACGCCTGCGCCTACGGAGGGACCATGGGTGGCTTGCGCTGCACCACCCACAGCTCCAACCACACACCCCCATATCCAGTGTAAACCCGAAGGAATAAGACCGGGAGGCATGTGGATGGGAGCCACGTTTCATCAACGGAGCCGGCCCACACTCCTTCACAGGCAAACACAAGCACACTCTATTT